GAAGTCAGCCTCGGCCCTCCGCTGCAGGATAGCGGCCTGGATGTCTGAGATGTAGCGATGGTCCTTGTCCACTTTTAGTGTGTACAAGCTCCACTTCTTGGATTTCTTGTTGAACAACTTCCGGTACCTAAAATAACAATATTTCTTAAGAATTTACATTAGTGTGTAATTATTCCTATGAAAAAGGTCAATGAACATGTAAACTTTTTACATGTTCAACAACTTCAACAGATGCGACACAAATAGTCAAACACTTGTACACTCTCACATTCTGTTGCAAACTTACACAAGTGAAGCCGTAATAGAAAATTTGTGACATTCGACCTCCCCAAAAAAAATGGTAGCCAAGGTCATTTAATTTGCGTACACAAGGGCACAACAGGTTGGATGGAATGGAAATGATAATGGCAACCGCAAATCAGTAGCTGTCCTTGATCTAAATCCACATCAGCTTTTGTTACAAAATATACAAAATAAAATTAAGTGAGGAACTTAAAAACTACATACTGTATTGCCCCATCAGCCTTTCTCTTTGCTGGTCTATCAACATGATGGTTGTAATCTAGTGCGGCCAACATGGTCCTAGCTGAGTACACGGGTGGTGAGAAGCTGAAGCGTTTGCTCGCGTTCATCAGGATGACACAGAGCTGCTAAATGTGCCTTTTTGATAAAGGATAGAATTGTGTTTTTAAAAAAGGACACTAAGCATCCTATACATACATACATACTAAGTACCTCGAGTATTACCTGGTACCAAAGTATGAACTACTTTTACTGTGTACTTTTTCAGTGATTGTACTTCAAACTGTCCAAAAAGCCAAACGTGCCGTGTTTGAGATAGGATAAAACTGTATTTTGGAAAAAGGACACTAGTTCACCTATACATACATACTAAGTACCACGAGTACTACCTGGTACTAAAGTATGAACTACTTTCACTGTGTACTTTTTCAGTAATTGTACTTCAAATTATGTACAAAATGCCAAAAGTGCCGAGTTTGAGATAGGATAAAATGGCTTTCTGGAAAAAAGACACTAGGCCACCTATGCACACACACTAAGTAGGGGAGACCGGGGATGGTTGTAACACGGGTCAGTAGTAACACTTCCAATATCTCCAATCAGGAAACATTTACAAACAGTTTGATTCACTATGCACATGCTCAGTGTGGTTGTTATGCCTCATGGGGAAAAAGTGTGACCTGCAAAACACACAACAAAATTTAGGAGCAGAAATGATATTTTGATGCCAAAAAGTAACTTTCTAAACCTTTTTAGTTTTTGTTATAGCACTGCCTGCTTTGTAGTTAAATCCATTAAACTTAAGTCATGTTTAATGTGTGTTTATGGAGATACATTCTATGCTAGTTGTTAGTGCTAATGTTTTATCTGTTAGCTGTAATGTAAGCTAGTTGATCGCTACATGGTTCTGGGTTAGTTGTAACAACAGGAGCATGGGTCAATTGCAACAACCAAGAAAATGTTACAACTTACCCCAACTTAAAATTTTCTTTTATTTTTATGTTTTATTTGAATTTCAGCATGCCCAGAAATTGGAAAAGGAAGACTGATCGATGGGTGCCTCTCTGCATTCTGGAGAAAACATCCAGTGATGTTAAAATTCAAGGAAAGTGTATCAGATCAGTAGCAAAAATCTTTGGTATTTGCCACTTTACAGATTTTGTCGAGCCAGGAACTAATTAGAAGAGCAAGGATCAAGACAGCTTCCAGCACACAGTAAAAGTAGTTCATACTTTGGTACCAGGTAGTACTCGAGGTACTTAGTATGCAAGTATAGGCGGCCTAGTGTTCTTTTCCCCAAATACAGTTTTATCCTATCTCAAACATGGCACGTTAGCTTTTTGGACATACTTTGAAGTACAATTACTGAAAAAGTACACGAAAGCAATGATTGGCTGAGGTTTTTAGAGAAATCCGAGACAACAACTTTATTGGGTTTTTTTTCAATCTCCATAACATTTTTATGGTTAGACCATGATAGTACGTTGCTAAGAGGCATGAAAAAACAAACAAACAAACAAAAACCGTCTTATGCTAATTTGTTTTCCAAATTTGCTACATAACCTTTAACACTGACAACTAGTGAAGAAGTAAATGTGTAAAATAACGTTTATGAATGGAGAAAGCTCTGCAACTGCTTGTTACAACTCAGTAAAAGCATTTTGTCCTCACATCCCCGTAGAAGGAAATATCACATCTAATATGGCGTCACCCAGAGGTTTAGATCTGCTCCTGTGTATTTTAGACCTGATTTTTATGCTTATAGCTGCCAATATTTTTCAACAACTGGGCATCATTTAATTAATTTTCAAGATAACATTTCAATGGATATTTCCAGAGAATAACAGTAAAAACTACACATTGGCATTTTAAAGGCTAATCTGACCCAGATTACTAAAGGATGTTGCTTAACAAGCATGCAAGATACTATCTACTAACACTTTTAAGTTAGATGAAAGAAAATAAATATTAAACAAGCTTGTCTAACAAGCCATTCTTTGTTTAATTGATTTAGTCACTCAGCCTGATGATCCAAAGCCTTTGAAGCTCTGATTCTTGTGACCGAAGGCCAGTGATGGATTATCTGTTCCCTGCAGTTACAAGAACTGTAATACCTCATTTTATTTTCAGCATGCTCAGATTAAAATGGAGGTCAGAGGTCAGTTTGAGCCATGGAACACTTTCTGACCTTCTGTTTGGTAACTTTCTGGCTGCACATGAGAATAAAATAAATAAACCAGACTGATAATCTTATTTTTAAGTTTTCTGAGAAACTTTATTTTCCTTCTCTGCTGCATTTCTCCAGCATCTCCTGTCAAGTTTAGCTTTACAGTGTTGTTGCTGTATTTTTTTTTTGTTTCTGTGTCTTTAAGGCTCCCCAAAAGACACCATGTACCCAACATGTGTTTGAAAGCTGCCATGCTAGCTCCAAAGAACGCCTGATGCAAATTTACTTTACAGTACGGAACAAGACAAGCTACGACTACTAATGTTTCCTGCAGCTCACTGAGCCATTTTTCTGTATTCTGCTCAGCTAAAGCTCAATCTATGCCCACTTATTGTTCATTACACCTCGCTCAGACTCATGCTGCTGCTCTGTCTGGATACTGTTGCTTTACCCACAGTTACCAATTTTAGAGAAACATGGCTTTATTCATCAGATTGGACTGGACAGATGTATCTGACTGGCAGCCCTCAGATATAAGCTGAATCTGTGGGGAGAGAACAGCGACAGACCTAAGAGACTCGGAGAATGGCGCGGTTATTTCCAGAACCTGAGGAATGCCTCACCTCGGGGCTTATCATGCACAGCGGGGTCTGAGCATTACTGGGAATTGATCTGGAAGGGAAAAAACTTCACTCAGCTGCAGTCCTGACTCATGTGGGCATAAAGACTAGTCAGGAAGGTTTATGACAAAATTAGGGTCAGGAATGAAAAGCAGTTCACCTTAAATGTAACGTGCATGGGTGATGTTTTTCTGTGAGCTTGTTGATTTTGTCATTTCTTTATTATTTTGATCATTTTCAGCATGCTTTCATTTATTTCTCCTTGTGACGTGGTTCTGTGAGTCCTCCAGCCCCCTCGTCACTCAGCTCATCAGCTTGTCAAACCATCTGTTAAATATTTATTTATACGTTTTGTTGCAGACTCCACATGTTTAGTTGTCTCTGTGTCTGCATTTTGCATCTTTAAAACATCCACACATCATGGCAGTTTGTTGTTTTTGCCCTGATTAAACAGAAAACTTCAACTCTGCGGATTCTTGACAGACTGATTGTGTTTAACAGATCTGCGACAGTCATCCTGGATACAAACAGCCTCTCTGTGAGGTGCTGTGACTCCGAATTAGAGATGAGGGAGCATCTCCATCACTTTGGAGGAGCTTGGAGTAGCCACTGCCCCTCCTCATCAAAAGGAGTCAGGTGAGGTGATTGGAAAACCTAAATTGGATGTTGGAGTTTTTCTGGGCACATCCCACTAGGAGAGGACCCCAAAGTCTAACCCCAAAGCTGGAACATACCTAGGAATCCCTCAAGAGGGAATGGTGAGTGATGTTATTAGGAGGGATGTACAAATTTCCCTCCTGGATCAGTTTAATCCAAGATTCCCCCACATTAAAGGTGCAATATGGAACAGTAGAACAAGGTTACCAGCTGTTGGGAAACCGAGATTCACTGACAACACCTGAAACTTTTTATTTGGCTCCATCTTTTGAAGGCTTCACCTAAGCTCGCTCTGGTTTTAGATCTTTTACGGTCGCTCCTCTTCTAAGAAGGATAAATATTTAATTATATTTTACTTAAAACACAGCTATTAAAGGAAATTTTGCACACCCCTAAACACCCCGTGGAGGTATAATTCTTTAAATATATAACTTTTTATTAAAATTTTCCATAATCAACCTCCAAAACACTATGGTGAAATCTTTCACGTTTCTAAGTTCTCTGGCTGTCCCCCTAGTGGACATGTCTTTGAACCATTTTGGTGAAAATACACAAAAAAATAAATAAATCACGTGTTATGGCTAAAGAGGGATAAAAACCTTGCGAAAATGAGAAGAATTCGTTCACTAAAAGGTTAAAGTGTCTACATATCCCGACACTTTGTTTTGGTTCTGATTATTTCCCAGCTTCCTGTTGAATTTTGAAGCACCAATCATGCACCACTGCTGTGTGAAATCTGCATGATTCTGTTTTTGATTTAAACAGAAAAAATGCATGCTGTAGATATAATGTTACAGTTTTATGTAACAAAAACGATGTTACCCTGTAACATTTGGATGGAAGTTTTGCATTTTGTTTCAATTTTAAGTAATCTAGAACGCATTAAAGCGGAAAACTCGTCTTTTTGTTTCTCTGTCTACTATTTTAATGTGAAAAAACTTGTAAAAGCACACAGAAGGGTCTGGAACGGTCTGATTGGGGAGTGTATGAAGCCAGAAGCTGGAGCTCCTTGAGAGGAACCTAAACTCGGAGGAGGCGTTTCCGTGCGCTGACGCTAGGAGCTGTCCGTGGTGCTGAAGCCTCTCTCTCCTCTCTCCGGCAGCCCACAGCCAGCTCTCCGCTCTCCGCGCGTCCGAATGAAAAAGAGACCTCTGCGTTTCACCTCATTATCCCTCTTCTGTCTTCACTCCGAGATTAATTACAGGAAGCAGCCCGACGGTCCTCGCCTCGCTTCGCCTCGCCTCTTTTCCCCCACTGGAAGTATTTTTTCATCATTGTTATTTTTGTTAAACACACGAACGAGCTGTTTCGCACGGCAGAGCGCGACTCTCGACTTCAGTAGACATGTGTGTGAGACAACACCGGCAATTCACGACTCTCTTCTTGTGCGCGGCTTTGGGTCTCGCCGCCGTCGTCGCCAACATCCACGCACAAGGTAAGAACTTGGCTCTGGCTCGCACTTTGTGGAGCTCCCTCTTTTGTTTCAGCACACACAACCGGAGCTGAGGTTTGAAAAATACCAGCCAGCTCTACAAGTGAACGTGTTTAAGCTAAAGCTGTGAAAGCGGGATATTTTAGGGGTGAATCAGGAATAATTACAAGTTATAAATCCGGAGAGTAGACGGAGTTCAGGTGTTTGTTACATAACAGTACTTAGTTAATCACAACAATGCGAACACGCGCCACGGAGAGGGGGAAACTTAATAAGACTCAGACACAAACCTTGTTATGAACCAATTCCATCCCATAATGTCATCAATTACGTCTTTTATTTCCCTTTATTAAACAGTTCGGAAGTGACTTGTTTGGGCTCCCAGGTCTGTGTGACAGACGGGGATCCTTAATAAGACTAATCCGCTGGAATGGCGGAAGATTATTGACCAAGCTGTTTGACACAGTTGAGTGGGAAGCGGCAACAGATTCGTGCTCAGTGGCTTTGTCCTAATTATTTCCCTGTTGAGGGTCTGCTGCTACTCTTTATCATTATAGATATACCTTCTGCCTGTCACTGCATTAAAGTGAGTTTCAAAGGTTAAATACAAAAATAAAGGCATAAACCATCTTCTACATCTATGTCACGGTAACATTCTCCACTGCTTGACATGTCTTCATTCAACATTGACTCATTTTCCTTAAAATTCAAACATAATCTATCATAACCCATTTCTTGAAATACAAACCAAGCCTCATTTTACTCTTTTACAAATGTTTTAATGACAAAATGTTGAAAATTTAAAAATAAATAATAATAAAAAAAAAACTGGATCTAAACCTCCACTAACCAGCATCCAGAGCTGCTATCTAACTAGGGTCAGTGCATCATCAGCTTAATCCAGAATGCTCATGAACTTGTTTTATGTTCAGCAGTAGAACACAATGCACTGTTGTTTACATATCTGAGCGTTTTCCAGAATCACACATATCGTAAACCTAAAGGGAAATATCAGTTAACTGCTTCCGCCAGTGCTTCCTGGCTCACAATAATTCACACTAGGTGGAAATTTTAATTTCTGATTCTGGTGGGTTTGATGGATTTTTGTTCTCATGAGGGTTGGATGCATAGCTACTCGTTTACAGGAATAAATGAGGTTTTAGTTTAGAAAAGGCCTCCGTGCCTTATTTGTTTGTTTGTTTGTTTGTTTGTGAGGCTTGTTGTCATGAACTTGTTTTAAGCAGCAGGGAGTACAGCAGCAGAGATCAATCTAATTCTTTATTAGAACGCTGAGGGACCTTTTCGTGTTATGTTGTTGCGGAAACGATCACTCCAACGAAGTTATCTCACTAAAAGGTTTTTAGTTATAGGGCTTTCTTGATAGCTGAGGTGATTTCTGATTTTCTGCTCTTTGTTACACAGAAAGAAGCTTTTTTTAAATTTAGGCTTAGAATTTTTTAGTAACAGGCATACCTTATGATGGGATTATGTTCATTTTCTGTCTGGATTATTATGATGAAACATTAAAAACCAATTAGTGTCAATTTGATACATTCTGAGATTTTAAAGTGATAATTATTTTGCTATTAAACTTTTATATTTTGTGGCACATTATTCAGCCTGAATAAACAAATCCTAAACTCTGATCCTGGACTGAACACCCATCTATCTTCTCTTGTCTCATTTCTGGTAAAAAGTTGAGTAAATCTGTACATATTTTTAAAAACATCTCATGGATAATAAAATTTCAGTTTAACATAAACATACACTGGAATATACATATATACATGTATATACATATATAAATTACAGGTTCATGATCAATGGTGCACATACCTAAATCCTATATTAAAATAAAATAAAAAACCTGGTCAATATTTTGATTGAAACTCCTCAAAATTGCAGAAAATACACATTGCAGTTATTACCATGGACCATGTTGCAAATAATATTTATTTATAACATTTTAAAATATTGCTCAAACATTTGGCATAACTATCCCGCTGTGCAAAGACATAGTTTGGACGCCCTACAGACGTGGTCTGGATCGACGGACTCAATGGACACGCTCTCCACGTCCATGTGACGTTGACCGTTTGCAGGGATATTTTCATTTCTTTGTTCATTTAGTGAAAAAAATATTTTTTGTAGATATTTTATCAAGTATAATTTTGATTATCGTCTCTTAGAATGTGTAAAGCACCACACGCAACAGCATAAAAATACTCAAGCAAACTAAACCTTTTGTTGCATTTTTGAAAGAATAAATTGCCCATTAGTTATTCCTCAGACCCTCATTTAAGCTTTAAAAATGCCAGTGCAGTTGTGTGGAGGTCCCTTAATTGTCTAAATGTTGCTTGTCTTTGTCTCAGCCACGTGCACGTGGAACACTTTGTGATGCCATGGAGATCATTTTTTAATAGCGGCAATTTGTGTGGGATAATTTACCTTGGAAAGAATGTATTTCACATTATAAAAGGGTGAATAATACAAATGGAAGCATTAATATTTAATGTGACTTAAACAGTGCCTGTTCATGTAAATGAACTTTTCTAAACTGAAGGTAAGAGTTGAATGATTTATTCATTGAAAGACATATATATTTTTTTCATTTTTGCAGAATGATGTTGCTAAATAACAAGTCACATGTTGCTCTGAGATGCTAGTGTAGATCAATACTCATCGACTGGGACAGGGAACATGATGGAAAGAGCCAGAATTTGTCATTAGAGGTCTAAATCTGATTTACTCTCTAATTTTGAGAGGGAATAAGCTGTTTGCTGGGAAAGGTTGGGTTTTTATGAGAAATGGCTAAATAATTTACACTTTCTTCATTTTAATGTACAACAAGACTAAAGAATAAAAATATTAGTAAAAATTAAGTGTAAAAGTGTGAAAACAGACGTGGATTGAGACATAATTAGAATTCAGCTGTCTGTCTTCCTCATGCAAAAGGATTATTATCACTTGGTAAAGATTTGTGGGAGGTTTATGTGTCCTCCTTGACATGTGAGCGTGTATGTTATGAGTTCAGTAAATCTCTCCTGTTTTAAAGCTTAAGGTTTTCAGATGACTTTTTTTAATGATTACAATTTGTTGAACCAGAATCTGGTTTTTACGCATTCATGTTTCGCATTTATACGGAGGAGGATCAGGGCAATGAAAAAAAAGAAAAGAAAAGAGAAATAATTCTGACTTTAATCTCAGAATTCTGACAATCTGAGCATTCTGAAGTTTGTTCTCAGAATTGTCATTTTAATCTCCGATGTTTGTCATTTTCCTCAGAAATCTGAAAATTCTTTCAGAACTCTGAGAATTTTTAAAATTTCTGATGTTTGCCCCCCTCAGGATTCTCACTTTAATCCCAGAATTCTGACTCATTTTTCAGAAATCTCAATTGTTACAAACCCTTAGATGTTAAGTCGTTGTGGCAGAGGGGTAACATAATAACTGGTGTGGAGAAAGGAGGGAGTGTAAATAAAATGTATTTTATTTACAGAGAGTGAACACAAATACTCAGTCCTTGACTGCATTAACGACTAAATGAAAAAGGCACTAAACATAACTAAATGAAGGTGACGGGTAGAAATCAAAACACCTGAGGCAAAAGGCCTCAGGGAAAAAATCACGAGAATATCACAACAAACGTTGAGACAAAGAACGGTTCAGAAGATCTTTCATGGATGTAAAAACAAAGAGTTGGAGTACCCGGCCCGGAGGGTTACCGGGGTCCCACCCTGGAGCCAGGCCTGGGGTTGGGGCCCGTGAGCGAGCGCCTGGTGGCCGGGCTTTCACCCACGGGGCCCGGCCGGGCTCAGCCCGAACCAGATACATAGGCTCATCCTACTGTGGACCCACCACCCACAGGAGGAACATGAAGGGTCAGGTGCAGTGTGGATCGGATGGCAGACCGAGGCGGGAGCCTTGGCGGTCCAATTCCCGGACAAGGAAACTGGTTTTTGGGACATGGAATGTCACCTTGCTGGTGGGGAAGGAGCAGGAGCTTGTGGCAGAGGTTGAGCGGTACCGGCTAGATATAGTCGGACTCACCTCGACACAAAGCATTGGCTCTGAAACCCAAGTCCTTGAGAGGGGTGGGACACTCTCCTTTGCTGAAGTTGCTCTGGGTGAGAGGCGGAGGGCTGGGGTTGGCTTTTTGTTAGCCCCAAGACTCTCTGCCTGTGTGTTGGGGTTTACCCCAGGGGACGAGAGGGTAGCTTCCCTGCGCCTTTGGGTCGGGGAACGGGTCCTGACTGTTGTTTGTGCTTATGGGCCAAATATCAGTTCAGAGTACCCACCCTTTTTGGAGTCCCTGGGACGAGCGCTAGATAGTGCTCCATCACGGGACTCCATTGTCCTGCTGTGGGACTTCAATGCTCACGTGGGCAATGACAGCATGACCTGGAGGGGTGTGATTGGGAGGAACGGCCCACCTGATCTGAACTCGAGTGGTGTTTCGTTATTGGACTTCTGTGCAAGCCGCAGTTTGGCCATAACGAACACCATGTTCAAACATAAGGATGCCCATTGGTACACTTGGTACCAGGGCAGCCTAGGTTGCAGGTCGATGATAGACCTTGTAGTTGTATCATCTGACCTGCGGCCGTATGTTGTGGACACTCGAGTGAAGAGAGGAGCAGAGCTGTCAACTGATCACCACCTGGTGGTGAGTTGGATCAGGTGGCAGGGGAAGATGCTGTGTAGACCTGGCAGACCGAAACGCATAGTGAGCGTCTGCTGGGAACGCCTGGCAGAAGAACCTGTCAAGACGGTCTTCAACTCCCACCTCCGGCAGAGCTTTGACCGCATCCTGAGAGCAGTAGGGGACATTGACTCTGAGTGGGCCTTGTTCCACTCTGTGATTGTTGAGGTGGCTGTTGCTAGCTGTGGTTGCAAGGTCTTGCAAGGGTGATGGAGGGGTCATGGGAGTTTGCCCAACCAATCCACATGTGTCCCACTTCTGACACCAATTGTAGCGACCCCGAGCGTCTCAGCGGCAGGTT